CATAAATTCCATCTGGCTAAGATTATATTACTACTCAAGTTCAAAGATGCATGATGCATGATGCATGTTATTAACAAAAAAAAGTTAGACACATGATTTATAATTTTATATAGACAAATCATCTAGGATGGACATGATCTTTACAATAAAAATTGTATATCCACTGTTTTCATTTCATGTTTTCAGGACATCTGCAAATAATATTATCGATTTTATTCATTTTTTTTTGTTTTGAAATTTTTAAAAAAAAATTGGATCATTTTTTGATTTGTGTGTGTCATCCTTGCGCAGGGGTCATGCTAATCTTCTTTGTATATTTTCAATTTTATCGGATGTCCCCGAAAGGACGATTATATTCAAGTCGTTTGTTAGAATATTGTACATTGAAAGTAAAGATAGATGTATTAAAATATGAGTTGATTCACTCATGTATTAATTTTGAATTACAAATTCATGATTCTTTAATCACAATCAGCAACCATTTCCAGTGTATATTAGCTGTAGGAGTTCGACAATAACTTTGACCTGAAATCCAATATGAAATTTTTATAACACCAAGAGCCACCATAAACAGTAAGTCTCCAAATATTTTAGAGTTAATTTATTTTGCGTAATCGTATGTGAAGAACGAAGAAGAGATTTGAACCAATAAGAGAATAGAGAAAAATATCATCGATACTAAGAGTTGTCTATTTTTTTAATTATTTTTGAATGATTACAAACTTGTATGTCCTAGCAAAATAATATCTAAACAAAGAGGGAAAACATTCTAATTCTCCCCCCCCCTCCCCCAAAAACTTCCATATCCTTTTAGATAGATCCGAAAAACTAATCTCGTACTACTTTCCCCCATACCTAACAGTACACTCTTATTTTTCCACACAATAAACATTAAACGTTTATTTCCTTTCATGATGAATATTAAACGCTTATTTCATCCTAAATCGGTTTAAACTCGGTTTACTCGGGTTTCGATTTCGGTATACTAGGGTCTATCTAAAAGGATATGGAAAATTTGGGGGAGAGGGGGGAATTAGTACGTTTTACCAAACAAAGAAGAGAAGAACTTACTTCAATGGCTACATGTGTAACTTATTGTGTCTATCGTGATACTTCAATGGCATCCTTAATGCATAGATACTCCTTGAGCCTCTAGAATATAATATTTTAATAGTTTTTGTTATTTATTTAAAATTTAAATCATCAAAAAATCTTTAACCAATCAAATGGGTACAACTATTAAAAGAGTTTTTTTCCTAAGAGCATCTCCATTGGTTCTAGTTGGAGAGAGTCTCTCAATTGATAATTCTAAATTATTTTTTTTTACTTTTTTAAATTTAAAACAATTAAAACCACATTCAACCAATGTCATAAAGACAATTGGCAATGGGTCTCTAAAAAATCATGAGATACGGTTCTGAATTGAGAGATTATGGCATTCCTCTCTCTTTCTTTTATATATATATATATATTTTTTTTTTAAACACGAGTCTTTGCTAAGAGACACTGATGGACATGCTCTAATAACCTCATCTAATACTTTTTAATTATTTTAGATTTTTTAAAATGGCTAGAAATTTCTCTAGATACTATCATTGGAGATGCTCTTGAATCCGTTACATTACAACAACAAAAGAAAATGTGAAATTCTGTTCAAGAGGGAAACTCAATTGGAATTGAAAAATATAAGGGATGTTAACCGAAACGACTATCGAGCCTTGACAAGCTCTATAAAATGACGTATGGCCGAGGAAGTGTGTGGAAGTTGAAACTAGCACAATTAGATTTGTTAGGGTTTCGTGAAGAGGTAGAGATTTCTAGGGTTAGCTAAGATCATCAAGGTATGAAAAAGTTGTTTGTTATTGCTCTGTAAGATTTTGTGAACAAGATCCCGAATGCCTCTTCAAGGGCTTTTACATCAGGTATATATACTATCTCTAAGTCAGCTAGGCCTCCTAAGTCTTCGCGGAGTCACCTTCCTTGAGTCGGTTAGTTCTCTGGGCCTCGTGACTGGACTGGATTTCGGTTTGAGCCGTCTTCGGTCCGTTGGGTCATTGCTTGTGAAGACGTCTTCGGCCTGGAGTGTGCGAAGACGTCCTCTCCCGTAGTGACCGAAGACGTCCTCTCCCATGTAGCGGCGAAGACGTCTTCTCCCTTGTAGCAGCGAAGACGTCCTCTCCCGCGTAGCGGCGAAGACGTCTTCTCCCTTGTAGCAGCGAAGACGTCCTCTCCCGCGTAGCAGCGAGGACGTCCTCTCCCGCGTAGCAGCGAGGACGTCCTCTCCCGCGTAGCAGCGAAGACGTCCTCGGGTCAGGCTCTTGACATGATCATTCGCTTTGCTTCGCGTGAGGACTTAGGCACCATTCCGCCTTAGACGTTGAGAGTCCCGAAGGTCATTTCTCCAGTTGTCTGTTCTTTGAACGTTGACGTTGAGCGGGTGAAATCCGACCCCAACAGTTAGCCCCCCAGCTCGGTAGTGTTAGTGATAACGGTATCGAGTTAAAGACTATGGAATGTCGAGATGTTAACGTTCAAAGTTATGAGGTTACTGTTAGCATTATGCTGTTGGCTAGAGCCGTTACACCCGTAGCGGAGGATG